CCTTTGACCTTTGTTCGCATCTCCGCAATAAAGAGGTAAAAATATCAAAACTGGTAGGTTGATAAGAGAAGCCTAATAAGTACTGAAGTGTCCAATTTGCGCGTGTCCGAATTAGAGAAGTTTTACTGTACTAAGGGACATATTAAGGGGGCAATAAAATAAAATAATATATTGGGAATCTGTAATTTAATTTTAAATTCGGTGTTACACGTTTTAAAGTATGTATTATGATACCGCTGTCTTTACATCTCCAAATATAGTGACAGTAAGCAACGGATCGAATAAGCTAAAATCGTATTGAGCCACTAGCTTGAAATCTTCTTCCATATAAGAAGCTTCAGGCTCATTTTCTATGACGGAAAAATCAAATCCTGGTAACTTGGTACTTAGATATTCTGAAATCTTAGGAATTATTTGATCGGGATCATTGCGGTATGTTAGGAAACTATTCGTCAGGGCTTCCAAGGCAGTATCCACTATTGCTTGGGAAACATCTCCAGAATAGTCAGTGATAGAAGCCTGAAATTTAGATTGATATACATGGTGCTGTAATTAGGATGAGAGATGGAAGATTGCACTTAAACGATAACCAAATTTCGAAAAAAATCTTGTTTAGAGTGTGTCCCACTAAGAATAGCTCTTGGCTGTATCTCGAGAAGTAGTATTAAGGTTGTCGCCCACTAGAACGCGGCGCGACGCGGCGCGGCGCCATGTAGGAAATTCTTTTGTCTGCTTGCCATGTATTTAAATGGAGCAACGCACATTAGAGCGCGCAGCGTCGAAGCGCGCCGCGGAATTTCTGTCAAGAAGTCGGAAGACTTCTCTAGCAACTTTTTTCCGTCTCCCGCGTTTCGGCGCGTTGCAGTGTGCGTACTCACAACGGAAATTATTTTTTAACAGATTTTTAAAAAGGAATATGATATTTTTTTTAGTTTTTGCTCACTAGAGACAGATGGACGAAATGTTTTTCTATCAAAGATTTAATATAATTGAGGGGTAGAAGCAAGACAGGGAATCTCCACTTTTGGAGAAAAGTGACAATCTCCAATTTTTAAATTCTAATTACCTAAATATATAAAAAAGATTGGGGCTTTTTCATCACATAACTAATATAAGAATATACAGCTACTCGAGAACGGTTCTGAAAGGAGCTATGCGCGATAACCTCGTGCCTCCATATGGCGCGGAACAGTTCTGAACTTTATGCCTCAATTGGATGAGATTATCGCGTTCTTGAACAGTTCAGAACTGCACAACTGCGTGAATGGAGGACAGTAATTGTCGTGTGTACGAAGAGTACAGTCAATGTGTTCAGTGCAATACGATATAAGAGAGAAGAGTAAGAATTTTCCCAAGCGTAACCATGAAGTAAAACGTCGGATTAAGTGGATATAATAAACTTTGGATTTTTTTCTCTCCGATTTACAACATCGCCATAGCGATTCACTTCTACACATGTAGGTAAATGCCGAGGGGTAAGCCGCTGACAAATTTCTGTACACTAATACCACGTATAATGGAAAAAATGCCAACTAATACCACGATTATGTTGCTACTAATACCAAGTAATGTCAACATCTTGTACACCAAAATACACCAGTGGTTTACCCCTCCCTCAGTAAATGCTGACCAGTGCCGCTTTATTCATTAGGCAAGATAGGCAGCTGCCTAGGGCGGCAGGCCGAATAACAAAATTTACTTGAATTTTATTAGTTGAAGGGGGCAGCAAAATAAATGGTGCCTAGGGTACCAAATCACTTTAAGGCGGCCCTGCCCAAGACTTTCTCTTGTCGATCCGGTATAAATCTATTATCTTAGCCTTAGATAAATTAGAATAAAATAAACTATGTTAAAAACTTTCATGTATATTACTGAAATGAAGATAATATATCTAAGCTAAATGTAATATATTACAGTTGTAGTAAAATGAGTAACTAGTTTCGAAAATCCAGATCCAACCCTGATGCAACATTTTTTTGAAACGTCTACTTCTGCGGTTTGAAATTTTGATGCAAAATCCGGCAATACCCTCAGAAGAAATGTACCCACCCATACCCACCCAACTTTTTTCTCTTTTTAATACATTTGATTTGCCATTAAGCTGCCTACATCACTGTCTTACACGTTAAAATCCTATACACAGAGTTGACCTGTCCCGATCGGTATAAACAAGGCTAATATACACATCAGAATAAATAAGAATTATCAAAAGTCGTCAGCTATAAGCGATTCATTATTGCATCATTAGTAATTTGTCTCTTCTGAAAAAATATGATGAGTAGAGATACCCGGTGTTTCTAAACTTAATTGAGGAGTTCGTAAAATGTTTCCCTTACATTTTGTAATACTGAAAAAAATGCTCTTGTCTTTTATTAAATCAGGAAAAAGATGGTAAAATTCTCCAAACTTCTTTCTTTTTTTGTTAATCTTATGAGTCCATACTTTCCTTTTCTTCTTCGCCTGCTCTTCCTCTTCCTCTGTTAGAAGAGCACAAAAAATACGCTTTCGTCCGTACTTGAACTCATTGCTTTAAAAACTAAACTACAGTAAGTAAAAAACACTTCGACTAACTAAATAGCGTTTCCACGTTTCAAAACCGCGCTATAGTGGGCGCAGTCCCTTCGCAGCCGGAAAAAAATCTCTTCCCAGCGCCGCGTCGCGCCGCGGTCTAGTGGGCGACAACCTTTAAGGTTGTCGCCCACTAGACCGCGGCGCGACGCGGCGCGGCGCCATGTGGAAATTTCTTTTGTCCGCTTGCCATGTATGTAAATGGACCAACGCACATTAGAGCGCGCAGCGCAGAAGCGCGCCACGGAATTTCCGTCAAGAAGTCGGAAGACTTCTCTAGCAACTTTTTTCCGTCTCCCGCGTTTCGACGCGTTGCAGTGTGCGTACTCACAAGGCAGATAATTTTGCATTCGAGTCTTTTCAGTTGGCTTTTTGACTAGGAACTAGTGATATGTATCAATGGCAGAATTGTATTTTTAAAGGTAAATTAGGCAAATCGATTTTCATAAAGGAATATGATATTTTAGTCTTCCCTCACTAGAGACAGATGGACGAAATGCCTTTCTATCAAAGATTTAATATAATTGAGGGGTGTAGAGGCAAAACTGGCAATCTCCACTTTTTAACAAAAGTGACAATCTCCAATTTTTAAATTCTAATTACCTAAATATATAAAAAAGATCAGGGTTTTTTTGACCACATAACTAATATACACATCAGAATAAATAAGAATTATCAAAAATTTTAGTAATTTGTCTCTTCTGAAAAAATATGATGAGTAGATATACCCGGTGTTTTTTCTTCTAAAACACTCAATTGAGGAGTGCGTAAAATGTTTCCTTTATATTTTGCAATACTGAAAAAAATGATTTTGTCTTTTATTAAATCTGGAAAAAGATGGTAAAATTCTCCAAACTTCTTTCTTTTTTTGTTAATCGTATGAGTCCAAACTTTTCCTCACCCCCTCTTCCTCTGTTAGAAGAGCACAAAAAATACGCTTTCGTCCGTACTTGAACTCATTGCTTTAAAAACTAAACTACAGTAAGTAAAAAACACTTCGACTATAACTAAATGGCGTTGCCGCGTTTCAAAAGCGCGCTATAGTGGGCGCAGTCCCTTCGCAGCCGGAAAAAAATCTCTTCCCAGCGCCGCGCCGCGCAGCGGTCTAGTGGGCGACAACCTTTAGCCGTAAGGCCTAGTGATTGAATCGCCAGTTTGCAATTTTTCGCTCATCTCCAGCCACAGGTCCTGAAAAGTGGCTCACCCCTATAATTTTTTTATTTTTTCAGATAAAAAAAACGAGATTTAGTATGTTAGAATATGACAAAAATTAGGATTGATTGACGTATTCAATTGTTTTCGGTCACTTTCTGTTTCACCGGAAATAACTACAACTTTTGATTTTTAAATATAACCTTCGGTATTTTCATTCGATAGAAAATGACACTCTGAATAGAATGATATATCATATGTTAACTTTTCACATTTTCGCATGTGGTTTATTTGAAATTGTAACATGCGGTTCATAACGACAATAATTTGACTCGAATTTATTTTTCTAAGGCTCCTTGATTAAAAATTAGAGTTTTTAAGATAGCCATGGCACTCTATATTCGGAGTGTCATTTTCAATCGATTAAAGTAAAAATATTTAAAACTACATTTACAAATCAAAAGCTGTAGTCATTTCCAGTGAAACAGGAAGCGACTGAAAACAATTGAATACGTCAATCAATCCTAATTTATGTTATATTCTAACATACCAAATCTCGTTTTCTTATCTGAAAAAATAAAGAAGATATAGGAGGTGAGCCAAGAACAGTTAACCTAATAGGACTGCTCATTCAGCCAAAAGTGTCTGCCAGGTGCATGCAAACTCCTCGTTTTGTGACGTCATTGTAATCCTTGTCATGGTTATTAGTCCTTATACACACACGTGCATTATTGGTTGCCTGATGCAAAACGTTCATTATTTAGTTTATTTATTTAAACACCTTATATGTATGCAGTATAGAAAATTAACTGTATAAATCGTATTCAATACTCGGATAATGCATTTCTAAGAACAGCAGTTCCCAGCATCACCTTTTGCAGGATTTCTTTTTACCGTACTTCCATATTTTGCTTTAAAATAATTAATAAACAATATCGTAAGCACTTACTAAGCACTTTTTCACAATCCACAACACAAAATGAACGTATTTATACTCTCTATAGCTCTAAAAACTTTAAAAACACCTTTTCACATTTAAAATTGACAAAATAATTGACTTAAAATTTCTCAGCTGTTATTTTTATAAGTTTACCATAGGCAATTAATAATACATACTATCATGATAAGGACTGCAATGACGTCACAACTGTCAGCTGAAGCGCGGGAAGAGGCGAACGTACGTCTTATGAGGATGAGCAATCCTATTAGTTTACCGTTCTTGGGGGTGAGCCACTTTTGAGATGCACCCGGTATATTAGGATAATAATTTACAGACTTACTAAATATGTAGGAACAACTACTGATTCGGCAGGAATAAACTTATTCTCTTTGTCGAATGTCAGTACGGTTACGGGATTGGGACCCTTTCGGAATTCTTCAATCTTTTGATCTATCTCAGATTTGTTGTCTACTTCTATAGTTTTATTTACCAAATATATACCGTCAGTAAAAGCATACTAAAAATTAAAAAAAAAATTAAGTATCTGTATCTTTACAATAGATTATGTATAAATGAAAAAATAATTTCTTTAATTTTTTTTCTGAAATATCTTTACTTGTCTCCCAACAAATTTTGTTTTAGTTATTTCTTGGAACTATACAGTATGTACAGTAAAAAATTGCAAATATTTTCAAAGCTGGTAGATCTCGATAAAATCAAATAAAAGTCCAAAATAACCGAGATATTTTACTTTGAAAATTAAAAAAAAATATTTTCGCTTAAATTTTGAGAACACTGGAACATTTCTGGGTTTTCTTTCTTGTAAATTTAATTTACTACTTATGTTGCCCATATATTATGAAGATATTTTGTTTTTTAAATAAAAATTTTAAAAATTTCTAAAAAGTTTTTAATTGTTGTGTTCAGGTCGAAATATACTACCCCTAAAATTATTTGCTCTTACTTAAAACTCACCCTGTATATATATATAATTTTTTTCAGGAGATACACACTGCTCTAACAACATTATGCTGCTATATATTTTAGTATATTATTATGATTAAATTAATAAAAAAGGAAATTGTACATACCGTATTGAAGCTGTCTATGTAACTAAAGCTTTCAAGTGTACCCTCTTTATCGTATTCTTCATTACCAGCCTCTAGTCTTATTCCGGCTTTAGACATCAACGGGAAATATTTGTTTTGAATCTCTTCTAATCCTTCATCATCGTCATCTTCATCGTTGTTTAACAGATCCGACGAGTTACCAATCTAAATTATACAAAAAGCCATTGATAAAAGGATATAGATGTAAACTAAATTAGAAAAAGCGTACTGACTGTAGAGGGCTAGAAGTTAGAGGATAATAGTTAGGGGGATAATTAAAGCTAGAGAATAGTAGTAAAAAAAATTGGCGCCTGGAGGCACGTATTTTAGTTTCAATTATATCAAAAACTGCGACTTTGACTCATTTTGATTTTATTACAAATTTTGTTGCAAATATTATTCCTAATCTTAAATTGAAAACCGCGTTTACCTAGCCGCGTTTACCGCTAGCTACTGTAATTTTGGAGTTACGATTTTTTAAAATTTTTAACCCCCTCCCATACTCCCTTATCAACCCCCCACCCCCATCAAAAACTAATGGCCAGATTCTCAGGTGGCATAGCATTTTTGTGCCAAATTTGGTTAAAATCGGTTTAGCGGTTTTGTTACAGACAGACGGACAGACAGACAAACAGACAGACAGACACCATAAAAATATTTTGTATTTAGGTCATTTATGACCCAAATAACTGATTTTGAGTGAAATTTAAAAAACTTTTTTTTTGTAGATCTTAATAGCCACCTGTTGGTATGGTCGGCTAAAAATCATAAACAAAATAACATTTTCTTTCAATTTGCTCAAAAATTATAAACTTCAATTCAGATTCTTTTAAATTCACCCCCGGGAAGAGGTAAAATTATAAAGTGCTTTTCTCAAATTTTGGGAAAGTAACCAGGAATAGATAGTGAAAAAGTTCAAATATTAGCTTTTAATCGACTAAGATGATTATACAGTAATTATAGCACACAATGGCCATCTGCAAATTGAAAATATTTGGGTCGCAACATACCCTGCTGGTCATCCAGTTTATGTGGTCTGGATTTTAATGCTTGTGACAGAGGATAATAACCAGTTGACAGACAGAGAGACAAAAACAAAAGTGGCATACAGTGTTGCCGGTTTTTTACGTTTGTAGGAGAAAGTGATTCTTCTGTGAGTCTTATTGAACATGATGCGCAATAAAATTGGATTTAAGTACATGTAACAGTATTAATCACGTGTTCTTATAAACAATCCAAACACCTGGAAGAGATATTTTGAAATATCATATTATTTCTACTGCTCTAGTTATCGGTTAAAGCAATCATTTTTGCACGAAGGTTTTGAACATGCAAATAGTTATGAATTCTATCTTCGAACTACAGGGTGGGCCACTGAAAGCTTACAATGGCTATAATTTTTCAAACCAAAAAGATACCAAAAAAATAAAAAATACCGTTTCTATAATATCGGGGGGAATACATATGACGTATTTTTTAACCACCCCGACCTACCCCTTAGGCGGCACCTCAACTCACTTGAAAATCTTAAATGGCAACACCCCACTTGTGGCGCCTTTTTGGAAAGCCCATGAAAAAAAAATGCTAAACGATGATCATAAAGTTTTTAGGGTGAAATTGAAAAACTACCCCTTAGACGAAAAATTAGGTGGACATTAATGAAAAAAGTAATTTTTTCAGCATAAGTTACAAATTGGGACCCAGCTAAATGAGGCAAATGAGGTATTTTTCAAACCACCCGGACCCACCCCTAGGTGCCACCCTCTCATTTCTAACCTCAAGATAGCGATACCCCACTTGTGACACTTCTTTGGAAAGCTAATTGAAATTGCTAAACGATGGTCATACAGACTTCAACTTAATTACTGGTAAGTGGTGATAAGAAATGTAGGTGTGACAATTTGAAAAAAATTTAAAATTATAATTTATTTTAACAATTGCTCAAAATGACGGCCGTTTTGTTCCATACAAAAATACAAACGAATTTTAAATTCTTCTCTCACTTTTTAGAAAGTCTCTCTCGGAATATTTCGACATGCTTCAGTTATCCTCTGCCGCAATTCTTGCAACGAACCTGGTTTTGTTTTGTAGACTATGGATTTAGTGTAACCCCGTAAGAAAAAGTCTAAAGGAGTGAGATCAGGTGACCTTGGCGGCTACTCGATTGGGCCCCTTCTGCCAATCCATTGCCTTGGATAATATCTATCCAACCACCGCCTTGTGGCAATAGAATAATGCGGAGGAGCTCCAAATCTCTTTGATTTTCAACCTGTTCCACCAGTCAAATTTCCGTCGATGAAAAATGGACCTATAATTTTATCGCCTAGTATTCCGCACCAAACATTGAGCTTTTGGGGATGTTGGGTGTGTCCTTCAACAACAATATGTGGATTCTCATCGTTCCAGTATCTGCAGTTCTGCTTATTCACATTTCCGTTTAAAAAAAATGGGCACTCATCACTAAAACAAATATTTTTAGTGAGTGAAGGTTCCCTTCGAATTTCCTCCGTTATTAGTTCACAGAACTGAATCCTTCTATCTGGATGGTCGTCGCCAAGATCCTGCAGAATCTTCATTTTGTAGGGATGGAATTTGTGCATTTTTAATACTCTTCTGACAAATGTTCGAGGTATACCTGTGATTGATGCCAATTGGCGTGTTGATGCTTCTGGATTGACCGATACCTGACCAACTTCCATCTGCATTTCTTTATTCAGTACCCTGGGCCCTGTCCTTTTTTTATTTTTGACCTATCCAGTTTCTTAAAACTTTAGAATTAAATCTCTAACATAAACGTGATTAACGTTTTTGTCCGGATTTCTCTCATTGAAAACACGGGCCGTTCTCAAATAGCTCATACCTTCAGCACCATAAAGAAAAACTATTTGAATTCTTTCTTCCACAGTATAAACCATTTTTCTTTCGAATAAGCGAATCAAATAAAGGTTTAAAATATCACCAAACGATTGAAAATCGATAGAAGACAGTGCAAAAACGCAAAGATATGCCGTTTTAAGATTCCTGTTTGTTGAAAGTAAAGAAATAGATGATAAGGAAGAATTTGCGTTATCGCAAAATTAGGCTGAACGATTAGTAAAACATTTTTGTGTTGCCTTTTTTATTATCTATATTTTTTATTTTTAGCTTCAAAATACCCTCTATATTTATGGACGCCATCGTCAAGGTCGGTTCTGAGAAGAACCCTTGATGATTATTTCTCATGTTGGTTCGTACAGGTTCGTTTTAATATTCGGTCCGGTGGTGGAAGGATTGGCCGTCTAAAACAAGACGTTTCCAGGGGACGCCAACTATAGTATTTTTTGTTTACTTGATACACTATTGCAATCGTGGAGGCTCCTTCCATGTTTATCACGGACGAAGACACAAAATGTGGCGAAATCCAAAATATGGAGCATCTGCTGTCATGCATAAGATATCCTCATACATGTACCCTTGAAAATTTATGGAACGCCGATGAAAATGCTCTAGACGTCGTTCGGTACTGGGCTAAAGAATTTTAAATTATAATTGTACATTATGTACCTATATGGTCCGGATACGAATAAGTGAAAAGTAAGCTTCAAAATGGCGATGGTTTCAAAATGGCATTGATGAGATTAAAAGTGAGGGGGTGGCACCTAGGGGTGGGTCGGGGTGGTTTGAAAAATACCTCATTTGCCTCATTTAACTTATGCTGAAAAAATCACTTCTTTCATTAATGTCTATCTAATTTTTCATAGGCTTTCCAAAATGACGCCACAAGTGGGGTGTTGCCATTTAAGATTTTCATGTGAGTAGGGGTGCCGCCTAAGGGGTAGGTCGGGGTGGTTCAAAAAGTATGTTATATGTATTCCCTCTCGATATTTTAGAAACGGTATTTTTTATTTTTTTGATATCTTCTTTGGTTTAAAAATTATAGCCATTGTAAGTTTTCAGTGGCCCACCCTGTATACATATGTAAAGCTATTATAAGTTAAATTTTATGAAAACTTACTCCAGGGAAGAATAATTCAATTGTCCTTATTTCGACAACGTTGCCTTTTGTGTCATACACATTCTGCCATGCGACGAAAGTTAGATTTGGTAGTTGCCCTAGGACTGATTCAAAAATGTCAGATATGGCCTTCAACTTATTGTTTTCATAATACTTCTTTACCTGAAAATGGGTTCATTTTTATTTTTTTTTCTAGTTTTTATACCGGGTGCGTCTCAAAAGTATCTCACCCTTAGAACTTTTTTATTTTTTCAGATAAAAAAAACGAGATTTTGTATTGGGATTGATTAACATATTCAATTGTTTTCGGTCACTTCCTGTTTTACCGGAAATGACTACAACTTTTGATTTTTAAATGACATCCTGGCTATTTTTTATCTTATTCGATAAAAAGTGACACTCCGAATAGAATAACATATATGATATGTTATCATTTGACATATGACATATGATAAAACATTTGACATTTCCGCCTATGGTTTATTTGAAATTGTAACATGAGTTTATATCGACAATGCTAATGAGCCATCCTTGTTCCATTTGAAAAAATTGAGATATGATTAAAAATACGATTTGAGCATTTTTTATCCGGCCAGGACAAGACACGAAAAACATTAGACGATCAAATCGAATTTTTCGAACGCCCCTTGATTAAAAATTACTGTTTTTAACACAGCCATGGCACTCTAGATAGAAATTATAATAATACGATTTTGTTTTAAGCGAAAATTGACAAAAAATTCACATATATGACAGGTATGTCATTCTATTCAGTGTCATTTTCTATCGAATAATGTAAAAATATACCGAGGGTGCCATTTAAAAATCAAAAGTTGTAGTAATTTCCGGTGAAACAGGAAGTGACCAAAAACAATTGAATACGTCAATCAATCCTAATTTATGTCATATACTAACATACCAAATCTTGTTTTTTTATCTAAAAGAATAAAAAAGTTATAGGGGTGAACCACTTTTGAGATGCACCCGACATAGAGAGGGCATTAAATCTGTCCAAAAATTTTAATAATACTCTTACCTGTTGTTTAAGAAAAGGCGCTAGTTTGGGATTTTCCAATATTCTTTCCACTTCCTCGGATGATTCCGAAGACATCGAAACACATATTAGGCCACATAACATTAAAAATTTAAACGCAAACATGACGATTATAAGTATTATAACTTTCCAACTGATGCTTAGTTTTAACTTAGGAATCTTAATAACAATATTTTCTTGTTTTGTTTACTCGCATGCTGAATAACACAGACCCCTTTGACCTTTTATATATGTAGTTATTTAGTGTGTACTTACATAATTAATGATATAATGGGTTATCAATGTTAATTAAAAGTTATTTTTTTGTATAAAAAACTTACAATTTACTGCTAAATTTATCATTGTTATTTATAACCTAGTCAATAACAAATAACAAAGTTGACATAGAAACAAGGTAATATTTAGAAATTATCAGTTTAATCTATTTTAGGCTGAAATTACTCAAAAAGTACCATACGATCGAGAAAAAAAAACGGTGTCAAAGAAGGCTAGGGAGCAAAAATCAACCACGATTCGTACGTATCAACCATTGCACGTACACGTACCACTTCAACCACCAGTAATATCTGTAATAGGTTTGACGAAAATATCTTTGGATGAAAAATTCGCGTTTACGGTTTTAAAAAATTTATTCGTGTAAACATAGTGTTGCGGACCCGTGTGGACTCGACCTAACCTACGTATATGTCCCGCCCTCAGATGACCTTAACATCGCATTAAAGAATAGACACCGTAATGATTCATTCGTTCGAGAAGAATCGAGTCCCACTGGAATGGAGTAGTACATACGAGAACATTCGAAACCTTCTCTATGCACCTAACGATCTATGGACTATTCTAGAAATCTTTAGCTGTAGGTATAAAAGCCGGCGGCTGTGGCCTAGAGAGGGCAGTTATAAATAAACGAGTGCAGTTGACGCAAAAATTCAAAATAAATTCTTAGTTATAAATCGTTTGTAAATAGTTGTATAAGTCTTTTATCGTTATTGTTTATGTTAAATAGTGTTAAATAAATAGTGTTTAAATAAATTGTGACTTTCTATCCACACGGAACCGACGAAAAACGTAACAATAGAATAAACAACAAAAATAAAGATTCTTTTATTTTAATAATCATATAATATTATATTAAATGGTATAATGATTGAAAATCCGTATTATATTATTAACGTACTATACCCAAAATCCGTAAATTTACGGATTAATCAGTAGCTCTGGCAACACTGCCTACGGCAACCACTCACTCTGTCGACTGAAAGCAGAACTACGATACAGTATTCTTTGTCCGCTGCGCTGTAAACGACTCTATCAGCGCGCAGCAGCGCAGAGCTAAACTAAATCTCGGAATTCTGGGACAGGCTGACGGTAACGCCAGCTACATCTCGGACAGGTTTTGTGTCACGATATTGTCCATAAGGTTGCGCATCTTCTTATTTCTTCAACCAACGATCTTATGAGTTATTATGAAAAACAGCGCATCCTAGCCTCTACTGTCAAATGCTTATTATTATTGTTTACACGGTAAAATATAGAGTAAGGCACACTCTTTAAAACGACCCTAGTTCGTTGGATTCCGATTGCACAGGCGTTAACAGGAGTTATGAAAATTTAGATAAAAACAAATTTAACCATTCCCCACCATTTCATTTTAGTAGTTAGGGCAAAACGGCTTTATCAAAAAAGATCCAAAATTTGCAGAGTATTATGACGCCATCATTTATAGTATCCCTTCCAGCAATTTCCCAAGGTGTCAGAAGTATTTTTTTGGAGACTCTGCAGCTATACTTTCCGAGATTATCGAGAGCTACTCTTAGTGGGACACCCAGTACATTAGAATGACTTTTACTGCCAATTTTTAGTAAATTTTACTCCCACCACCCACTAGTTACGTTAGTATGTTACGGCTAAGGTCCGATATTCGGTTAATATCAACATTACCCGGTTAATCTCGAGAATAACACACAACCAGGGGTGGATGGGCCATATGGGAAAACGGGAAAATTCCCGGTGGGCCGGTGGAAAGATGGGCCGGCGGGCCGGTCCCGATCAGAGCTCAAAAAAAGGTTGGATTAGCAAAAATTAAATGGTTAATCTTCTAACTAAAGTGACGTAAGATCCTTAGTGACTCCATAACTATATCTAATCAATTTGCATCAGTATAATTGTCAGTTGCTTTTAAACATGAACGCCAATTTGTAAAATAACTATTGTAAAATGTCTTTCTCTGGGACAATTATAATTTTAATAATCATCTATTGTTTGTTCGGTTTGAAAATTTTTATTATACAAGGTGAGTCTATAAGTGCAAATATTTTCAGGGCTGGTAGATCTCAATAACATAAACATAATATATTCTCTTTACCGAGTTTCAAATAAGTCAAATCGAGTTATTAAAGTTTGGAAATTAAAAAAAAATGATTTATTTTTATAAAAAATTGAGCCACCTCAATTTTTCGGTATTTACATCTTTTTTTAGTGCCGTAATATCAGAGATTAAGAAAATATACCGTCGGAAAATTTGCGGTGAACAAGAAGTTCTAAAAAGTTTTCTAAAATATCAGGGAAATTTAAAAGAAAATGCTCGATTTTTAACATCTTTTTTTGCAAAAAAGCTCATAGACGTGTTCCTATGAGGTCGAAATATGCCACCCCTGAAAATATTTGCACTTATTTAAGACTCACCCTGTATAGTTTTACCCACTATTCTTTTATTAATAACTAATTAATGGCTGACTGGCAGCAGAAACAAGAATGAATAGCATTAGGTAAATTTAAATAGTACTATTAGACTAAAAGCCAAGTCTATATTGTTGTTTAAAATGTTGTTAAAATGAATTTGCTAAAAATTACTGAGGCAGCAGAGAAGAGTTAAATATGGTTTAAACTAGATTAGATAATAAAATATTAATAGGTATGTCTCGAAAATCCAAATATTCTTATTATGGACTGTAACATAGCATTACATAGCATTATATTATTATCAGAAAACATTTATATCCACTGCCTAGGTATTGCCTAAGTTTTTTTCGTTTGAGTCATGGCATTATCATACAAGATGCCAAATGTAGAAAAGTATAGAGGAAAAGTTTCGTGATAAGACTATATAATAACCTAAAAAATGCTGTAGTTTTAATGGCGACCGCGGTTAATTCAGTTAAAAACACGTATATACGACGAGGCTGCTGCTGTAGCAGAAAAGAGATAATTTCTTTCTACAATGTGTAAGAAAGTATATGCCCGAAAAGCTAAAAGTAATGTATTTCACAGAGGATTGGGTCAGCTGAACTGAATGAATCAGGAAGTCTTAAAGTTTCTCAAAATCGTGACTCAAAATCGTAGCCTATTCAAGATCAAATTACCGTTATCGATAATGGAAATAAAGCAGTAGAACTCTGTAAAACTCAGCCATTTTGTAGTAAAAATTCAGATGTCCTACCCAATATTGGTCTTTACGAAAATTTTGATCAAGACAATTTAATTTTTTTTTAAAAACCGGACGCATAAGAGCTTTTTCGCACGAGCGAAAAACGCCATTACTTATATATTAATAAATAAAATATGTTTCTTCGTTATGGTCATTTGGTTTTTGTGGATTTGGGCCGGTTGCCTGTTTTTCCCGGGCCGGTTTCCACTTCCCCATCCACCCCGGCACACAACAAAACAACCAAAAACAAAACCAAACCCAAACATTAACCTGTTAATGTCGACATTAACCGGACATCGTCGGCTTTATGACGAAAAGGGTTATCTCAATTTTTGGCGAATTTGCTCATCTCAATATTACACCTTTTTATTTTATATTCATTTAAAAATTTGCCCAATCTCAAATACTAGAATTATTGCGATTATATCTAAAAGGGCTCTTTATTATAGCTATTGTTATACCAATTGTTATGCTACAACAAAGATGGAATTTGAGATAGGTCCTTTGATTTAAGTTATGAAAATGCGTGCTAGAGAAAATGACACTTTCTGCCTAATTATTTTCTGATGGTTGCTTGGACCCAAATAAAAGTTATATCTGGCAGCTGCTCTCCTTTGCGGCTAATTCATCACACTTGAAAGAAATAAGCAAATAAGTCTCTGAATTTTTGCTACAAACCATGCCCAGAATGAGTTAGACTCTGCACATAGCTGTATCCAGACAATTGTCCGAGAACAAATGGCCGAAAGAAAATTAACCAAAAAGCAAATCACCGAAACGAATATTGTCCTAATGGAAAATTGCTCGAAATTATAATTTCCCTGAAATTATTTTAGGGAACCAGAAAGTTGCCCGAAAAATATAATAATTATTGTCAGCTCCTTATCATTGTTAGGCCCTTGCCATTGTTATGCCTGCCAATTTCTGGAAAATTGTATTTATTGTGCCTATCATCACCCGGCATAAACACTTAGAATGGAAGTCGACTTTGTAATTAGTGAACAGCAAAAACAGAAACTGTTAATCCACAGTTATTTGTATCAAAAAGGCACGGGTGAAGAAACATGTTTTGTCTTTATAGTTTGGTTTTTATTAAATGAACTGTGTTTTTATGTAAATGCCCTGTATTAGAGCTATCTTTAACAAAAATCGACATTTTAGGATCAATTTTTTGTACGCGAATAAAAATATTTAAACATATTTGTTTCTGTTTTATTGGTGATTTCTAGTTCTTTTTTTCTGGTAGGCGTATGTATACTGTTCAGTCGGTAATAATTTAATTATATTAAAACAAAAAGGCCTATCTCTATTAAATAACTAAAAATTCATTGTTTATTAGAATTTACGCTCAATTTATCTCTAGAACGATTCCTGAAGGTCTCCGTTTAAGTGCCAATAGAAAAACCCTATTAAAAAATTAAGACTTCACATTTATTGGCCAAATAAAGTAAGCGATTTTCTTTAAATTGCTCTCCTGAAAAGTAGCAAAAATCGAGATACGCCTTTTCGTTATAAAACCGACGATATATTGAAGGATATATTTTGCTTAGAAAAGTACTACATTGTGTTTGGAATCTACCCATGGTCGCAGGGTTTAAAAGTCAAACCGCTAATGCACAAGGGCAGACCGCAAGCCGAAGAGCGTTAAAAGCCTAAAATATCGATAAAACCGCTAACCCCCCACGGCGTCGACGGTTCTGCGGCCGTTTTATGATCCACAGAATTACGACACCGAAAAAATCACTTAAAAGAGAAGTGTTACTATGATTTTCCCAGCTGAATGCAGTGGTGCAACTATAGAACTCATGGTTGGGCCACAAGAAAATGTTTGATTGTGTAGAATTTTTCCATAAAAATGTGTAGCATTGTGTAGCCATCCATAACCCCAATACTGGTAAACT